ATATACAAAGGTTTATTTCTGGACAAAGTATACGACGTTTTATAGGATACAAAGAAAAATCAGAGTACAGACTGTCTCAGTACATTAGAATTGGTCATAGAGAAACTGTTAGAATGGAATTGTATATCATTTTTGTTTTAGAGAAAGAAGAGATAATTTTATTTAGAGGAAGGTAAAATAGCTGACTTAAAAAGTAGTTCATGTTAGAGTTATAGAACTTTAGACCTGTTTCCTGGCCTAATTCACATCCTTATTTTTATATAAAGAAAAAGAGGCCTGGTGTTACTTTTGAGGTCAGTATTACCCCAAAAATATTAAATAAAAAATAGACATATAGAAGGAAGAATTCAGCTCATAGAAGGAAAGAACTATTAACATGTAGGTTAGATAGATCCAGGAAGGAATGAGCTCTCTATAATTACAACTATTCAAACAGAGGTTGGATGACCACCTATAAGTTGTGCTGAGGAAGGCAGGTCTGGTCACCGCTCTGTCTTACTTGTGAATGTTCTGTGACTGCCCACTCACTTCAGAATAAAGGCCAGCTTTTAAAAATGGCATACAAAGTTCCTATACTGTAATCCTAGACTAACTTTATAGTATCATCTCCTGTCATATATTTATGTTCTTGATATATACAACTGTATATGAACTCTAATGTCCTTTTTATTCTGATTTTATTCACATTAAAAAAAGCTACCTTAAAAAAAAAAACACTTTCTAATATTTCAGGGAAATAAGCTAAAGGGTGTGGCTGTAGTTTAAAATTCCACACAAAGAATCCTCAGAACAAATTAAACAGAAGCAATGGGTAGCAAGTACATACATGTGCTAAGGTGAGTCTAAGGGCACATGAAATCTAAACTGGGTAATAAGCATTTAGCATATTTTAATTTGTTTAAGAATGCAAAATATAAAAAAGAAATAGATCCCTTACACTATCCCTGAGGTGAGCATATACCGTAGGAGATTTGGTGTTGTATACTATTTGTAAGAAACACAAAAATTTTAAACTTTGAACAGATTGTCTGCGCTATAGATAATGTGGGATGCCAACAATTTCTAGGTACTTTCTATGTGTCAGAATTGTTGTGGATGTTGGAATCCAAAGGTGAAGAAGACATTGTCAGGATCACATCATGGAGGGGATGCATTCTTTTAAACTTGAGCTCATGATCAGCTCGTGTCTATAAAAGGCATAGGAGGCTCAGAAAAAAATCTTCAGCACATCTGATCATGACTTTCTCTTGCTTACAAATGTTCAGTGACTTCCTTTATAATCTACCGGCAGATCTACTTGGCTTGAGCACACTTATCTCCGGCATACCTTTCTTATTCTTATTTAATTTACCCACCACATCACCCTTTTTATCCAATATGATTATATTTGGACGAGGTTTTCCTAACATCTAGGAAGAGAATAGAATATAAATATTGATCCACTGGGAAATTACATTTCCTATTATATCTGATGTAATAAGATTTTCACTGTAAGTAATTTTCACCCGAATTTGGGTGAAATTGAGTTCCCAGAAATTCTGTGAAAGGCTAAATTTGGAGACTTATCCACAGTCATGAGGTCTTTCTTGCAAGTATCAGATATAAATTCTCAGTGTATTTTTACAGAGCAGTCAGACATTTCCCATCTTATTTCTCAGTAAGCTCTTTGTGATTCAATGGAAAGAACCGAGTCACACAGGACTAGTATTCTAGTCTGGCTTGTGATTTACTGTGAATTACTGGCCACTAATTAAGCCTCTAATGCTCAAAGTTTCCTCATTCTTAAATAGAACTAATATTTGCTCTCTACATACTTTGTTGTGATAAGATTATAATTGCTAAAACTTTCAGCTCAACATGTAGGTTTTATAAGGAATACAAATATATACACACACACACACACACACACACACACACACACACATATCCTTTCTAATAAAGAGGGCACCTAACTCAATGCTTCGTTCTTAAGTAATCAGGAAATTTTATTCAACTGAGCTTGCTCCAAGGACACTGATATCACTCACTAAGGTGAAGGGCATGTTGGTATTAATGTCTCTATAGGTTTTAACTTTTGTGTTCTGTTGTTCTTCTGTGGATTTTTTTCCCTTTAAACAAAGTCATGCAGCTAATAAGTGCTGCTGCCAGGCAGGACTCTTCTGACTTGAAATACACTACTCTATGCACTCACTACACTGGGGCCCTGTGGCATCAGACAGGTTGGAGTAATATGCACTTAAGCTTAGAACTCTAGTTTTCTCATTTGTAAATAGGAATAGTTCCGACTTCATGGGGTTGTGATGAGCATTAAATGAAGTACGTGAAGTACCTTTTAAAATGCTTAGCACTTAGTGGGCAATTCTTTTTAAAAAAATATATTTTATTGATTTTTTACAGAGAGGAAAGAAGGCTAGAGAGTTAGAAACATTGATGTGAGAGAAACATTGATCAGCTGCCTCTTGCACACCCGCTACTGCAACCAAGGTACATGCCCTTGACCGGAATTGAACCTAGGACCCTTCAGTCAGCAGGCAGATGCTCTATCTACTGAGCCAAACAGGTTATGGTTAGTGGGCAATTCTTGGTCCCTTCTCACCAAGCTTCCCATTCATATGGGCATAAACAAACACACAAGGTATCCAGTTCTGGGGTATAGTGGGAAGTAGATGGACTACGCAGAGAGTAAATGTCCTTTTCTGACCTCTTACAGGTTCGTCTTTGAGTCATCTTATAAAACTTGTTAAGGCGTTATCTTGTAAATACTTAAGGCTTAGCATGCTCCAGCACTCCCCAGCCCCGCATCCTTATCATATCATTTTCCTGCCCAGCATTTGTCAAATGTAAGGATCCTAGTTGTGTGAATTGTCTAGCTTTGTGGCCGGAGGTTGGTTGAATAATCTCCAAGGCTGGCGAGGGGGTGGGAGCATGAGACTTACCAAACCACAGTTCTTTTGAATTTTGACTTTAAATAACTATGTGGAGGGAGCTAACATATTAAAAACAAGGCAGGTAGCCCTAACCGGTTTGCCTCAGTGGATAGCATCGGCCTGAGGACTGAAAAGTCCAGGGTTCGATTCCGGTCAAGGGCATGTACCTTGGTTGCGGGCACATCCCTAGTGGGGAGTGTGCAGGAGGTAGCTGATGGATGTTTCTAACTCTCTATCCCGCTCCCTTCCTCTCAAAAAAAAAAAAAAAAATCAATAAAATGTATTAAAAAATAAAAATAAAAACAAGGCAGAGAGGAAAGGCGGCCTATGGATGGTAGTTGATTCCAAACCCACGTGAAACTAAAACCTTTTCCCCCGGGGCGATGCCGGAGATGTCTCTGCCCAACTCCTTAACTTCGGAATGTCTTTTAGGAAGCAATGGCTCCAGCTCTGGTGTGCTGGTGGCCAAGGTGAATTCGGGGTCTCCCAGTCCAGCTCCCCATTCACTGCGGCTCAGCAGGCCGCGCAGGGCGCCGGGGTCCGCGAGGGCGCGGGCGGGGCGGTGGCCGAGCCAGGCTGGGGGTGCACGCCCACGGCCGGTTTCCTTCCCGGGCGTGTGTGTGTGTGTGTGTGTGTGTGTGTGTGTGTGTGTGTGTGTGTGTGTTGGGGACACTCTCTGGAGGAGGCGCAGAGGCGGCTTGAGGGTCTCGGCAGGGTGTGTGTGTGTGTGTGTGTGTTGGGGACACTCTCTGGACGAGGCTCAGAGGCGGCTTGGGGGTCTCGGCAGGGTGTGTGTGTGTGTGTGTGTGTGTGTGTGTGTGTGTGTTGGGGACACTCTCTGGACGAGGCGCAGAGGCGGCTTGGGGGTCTCGGCAGGGTGTGTGTGTGTGTGTGTGTGTGTGTGTGTGTTGGGGACACTCTGGACGAGGCGCAGAGGCGGCTTGGGGGTCTCGGCAGTGTGTGTGTGTGTGTGTGTGTTGGGGACACTCTGGACGAGGCGCAGAGGCGGATCTGGGGGTTATAGGAAGGGGGTGTGTGTGTGTGTGTGTTGGGGGACACTCTCTGGACGAGGCGCAGAGAGCGGTTGGGGGTCTAGGCAGGGTGTGTGTGTGTGTGTGTGTGTGTGTGTGTGTTGGGGACACTCTGGACGAGGCGCAGAGGCGGCTTGGGGGTCTCGGCAGGGGGTGTGTGTGTGTGTGTGTTGGGGACACTCTCTGGACGAGGCGCAGAGGCGGCTTGGGGGTCTCGGCAGGGTGTGTGTGTGTGTTGGGGACACTCTCTGGACGAGGCGCAGAGGCGGCTTGGGGGTCTCGGCAGGGTGTGTGTGTGTGTGTGTGTGTGTGTGTGTGTGTGTTGGGGACACTCTGGACGAGGCGCAGAGGCGGCTTGGGGGTCTCGGCAGGGGGTGTGTGTGTGTGTGTGTTGGGGACACTCTCTGGACGAGGCGCAGAGGCGGTTTGGGGGTCTCGGCAGGGCGGCCCGCCCGCAGCCGGGGAGCCAGACCTGAGCCCGCGCCCCCCGCCCCTCGCGCCGCCCCCCAGGCGGGAGCCAGGCCTCGGACCCCCGCCCTCAGGCCCCGCCTCCCCCCCGCCCCCCAGCGAACCCCCGGTGACCGCGACCCTCCCTCGGCGCGGAGCCCGGCCCCCTCCTCCCGGGCAGCCGCCTTCCCGCGCCCGGCCCGGCCTCGGCGGCGTGTGGTGAGTGCGCCGCCTCCTTCCCATTGTTTCCCGCCGCCGCTCCGGCCCGGAGCGCGGCCCTCCCGCCGGCGCTCCCCGCCCGCCCGGGGCCCACAGGTGCGCGGGGGGCCCCGGCACCGAGGGAGGGGGCGCCCTGGGACGCATCCCCCTGCCTCTCATCTGCAGGCCCCCCACTTCTTCCTCCCTTCCCCCCAAAAAACACAAAAACCCGGCATCGATCTCCTATCCCACCCCCGGGCAGGAGGCCATTGGGGTTCCGTCTCTCTCCCCTCCCCCTCCCCGCCTCTCCCTCCGCGGCCCCCTCCCTTCACCCCCTCCAGCGGGTCCTCCTCTTTCCCTCCCTCCCTCCCTCCCTCCCCTCCCCTCCCCTCCCCTCCCCCCCACAATGCAGTTCGCGGCGCGGCGGACATGGCGCTGGAGCCCTGAGCTCGTCGTGTCCCGGCCTCCAGCGGCGGCGAGGGCTGCAGCGGCGGCGGCACCGCGGCGGGCGGCGGAGCGGGAGCGGGGGGCCCTGCGATGAGGAGGCGCCGCGCGCGCCTGTAGCTCGCAGGTACGGGCCCCGCGGCGGAGCCGGGGCGCCGAGGGGGTGTGCGCGGCCGCCGGGGCGGGCAGGCCGGCCGCCCCCCGCTCGCCCTCAGGTGCCGCGGCGCCCGCAGGTGTGGGCGGCCGGCCCCGCGCCGCTCCCCGGGGCCCTGACGCTCCTTTCTGCGCCCGAACGGGCTCCGGGCGCCCCGGGGTAGGCGGGGAGGAGGCCGGCGAGAGGGAGGTGGGGCGGCGGCCTGGCGGCCTGGGCGGCCTGAGGGGGACCTTGGGGCGCTTGGGGGCCGAACTCCTACCGACCGAGCGCCCCGGGCCGAAACCTCTGGCCCAAACCGGGAGGCGGGTGTGGGGTTAACGGAATCGGCGTGAGCGTTTCCCGGAGGAGCCCAGGACGATTCCCTTTTCTCTCGCCTCCGCTGAGAGACGCGCATCTAGAACAAATACACACACACACACACACACACACACACGCGCATAACATCATGCATGTTTGCTCCGGGCTCGCTCCCGGCGGGAGAAGGCAGAGGTGTCTGTGGGTTTCGTTTCTGGCTCGCCCGCCTCCTTTCTCCCTCCTTTCTGCCCCCCGCCCCCCGTGGAACGGTGGCGATGAACGCGTTTGACGTGGGAAACGGCGAGATTCTTATTTGTAAACAGCCCTCGGCGAGCGCATTGCACGCCCCCACGAGCGGGTCCAGGTCCCTTTGGTAACTAACCTACCGGGGTTGCAAAAGAATGAGCTGTTTCGATCTGAAAGAAGCCACATTGTCGGGATTGCAGGTCGTCCCTGAATGGGGTGAATTTTACTGTTATGTTAACGTGGATGAAACATTTTCTTTGCAGAAGATTGATTTTTTTTTTTTTAATTCAGCAAATCTTTCATCAGAGGAATTGTACCTTGCACGAGATCTTAAGTGTCGGTATAGAACACGTTTCTTCATTTGAATATGTGTTGACGTTTTGCACTCATTTCTCGTAAACTTCTTAATGTCCTGACATGCAATTAGAGTTGTGTGTGGTTGGCATCCAGCAGTTAATTAGCTGGAGTGGATCGCGTTCCCTTTTGTTTCCAAAGACCACCCCCTTTCCCCTCCCCCTCCCCCTTCACGTCTTGTAGTAGATGGGTAACCCTGGGTGAAACAGAACCTATCCTGTTTTCTGTTTTTAAAGTGATGAGAACTGTTTAGCTGATAAAATTGGATGACCCCAATCGGATATTATAATTTAGAGAGGATGCCATACGAAGGTGGCGAATTGTGAGAGAGTTTTTTTAAAAGTTGACTTTTTTGGGGGGTTAGTATCAGTCAGCATATTTTGTGTATGAGTCAATGGTGTGCCAAAGTTTTCTTTAGACTCAGAACTCTTGTGTATCTCCTTAGAAATTGCTGCTCTACACTGCATCCTAGTATTGATTAGTCACAACTTGTAAAATTATGAAATATTGATTCATTTAGAAATGTATCATAATGTAAGATAATGAAGTCACTAGTGTTTAGTGTGCTGTAATGCTTTTGTAAACAAAATTTAACGAGGGCTTTTAAAAAAAACCATATACTTGGGAGCCCTGGCCAGGAGTTGGTGAGTTTCAGGGTTCTATCCTCAGTCAGGACACATACAGGAAGCAACCAATGAAAGCATAAATAAGTGGAATAACAAATCAATGTTTCCCTTTCAAACCAATAAACAAACAAACAAAAAAACCCATATACTTTGGGGAAGATAAGAATTTTAAGTCATTTATGCTTTAAAATATATTTAAAATAAAAGAGCTATTTTTTTTCTCATTTAGATGAAATTTCCTGCTGTTTGCAGTTTTTCATTTGACTAGTGTGGAAAATGAAAAATTAAAGTTTCTTTGAAATAATAGAATAGTCTTTTCATTGAATTAGGTTAAGTTGTTAGTAATACAGATAACAAGTCATTAAAATGCACTAAAATTTAGTTCAATTTTGTAAATTCTAAATCACACCTAGAAGTACATTTATTTTTAGATAAGTTTGCTAGGACAATACAGTGTCTACATTATAATTTTAGACCTTTAAAAATAAAAATTTGTAATAGTAATGTTAAATATCTCTGTTTAATAAAAAAGCTATTTAAAGATAATTTGTATTCTCAGAGCAGACTTATTTTAATAACAGTAGAGGACTTTTTTTTACCTCAAAGTTAACCTTGACATGTGTAATAAGCACCATAAATTGTGTTCTTTATAGAAGGTAAAATCTCTGTGGGTAGAGTTAAGTGTTTGAATTTGTTTTCTACAGACTATTTCTAGTTTCAGGGAACGATTAAAGCAAGACTTACCATTAAATTTTGTTTATCCTTAAAAAAAATCCAGATCACTTTGCTATAACAATTCAGTGAGATGTATTATGATACTTCCTAAAGTAAACGAAAATTTCTTGAATTTATAAAATAATGATACAAAATTTAGTTGGAATCATTACTGTAGACTTATGTTCTAAAAAAAAAAAGAACAGTTCTAGAAAGATCTAAAACAGACAAGGTAAAAGGACATTGTAGATTAAAGCTGAATATGTAGATATTGTTCTTAATTTTAGACAAATTAGGATTGTTTACACTAAACTAAGTTTTAATTTTAGAATCCTAGATAATTGCATAATTTGGGGAAATGTTAAAAAACCAACATAATGTTTCCACGTGTTTCTTAGAATTCAAAAATAAGAAAAGGTATATAAATGCAAAGATGAATAATTTAGACCCTCCCCCCCTTAAACGAGAGCTTTAATTTGTATGATGTTACAGTTTCCATATCAAATTATCTCATTGAATGTTCATAATTATCCTGTGAGTTAATAGGAGAGAGAAAAGGGAACTAATGTGTTTTGTTCCAGACACTATTAGACATTTAGGTTTTTGGTTTTTTTCACTTGCTCATGGTAACAACCCTTTGAAACCTATTTTGTAGATGATGAGTGTCTGACTTAGAGGTTAAGTAATTTGCTGAAGAGTGTAGTGTTAGATTCAAAGCAGCTCTGTGTGCTCTTACAATTATATAGGCCATGTTATTTCTCAATATGTATCAAGTATTTTCTTAATTTTGTAGGAGAAACTAAGGTTGCTCATTCATTCATTTAATTATTCATTTCATCAAACTTGCATTTCATTTATATTTCATGTTAGATGCTGCTAAGCTGTAGAAATACAGAATTATTAAAGACAGTGTCTCCTTTCAGAAAACTCAATCTACATAAATACAGATAAATCACAACACCTTACATCAGCAATTTTCAGCCTTTTAAAAAAAAATTTCACAGTACACATAAACTAATTAGTAAAATTCTACATCCCATCAAAAAATATTTTTTTTTTCTGTTCTGACCAAAAAAAGGTATAATTTTGATTCATCCACACTGGCTGGCTATTGTGTTGGCTGTTACCTTTTTTTTTTATTTGCTAATCTAAGGGAAAAGAGGTCAGTGCCACTTAATAGTCAGGTATTGCATGTTTTAAAATTCTTGCAGTATACTAGTGTGCCTGCACTGGTTGAAAATCACTGCCCTAGATAATGTAAGTTCAGAGGGAAGACATTTGAGGGATGAATAGGAGTTTGCTGGTGAAGAAGGGGATAGATGGACGATCATTTAGGAGGTAAGGGATAATATATGCAAAGATAAGTTGTTATGGGGTTTGGTGTATAGGAAAAAGTGAGAAATTCATTGTGTCAGGAATTGAGGATTTATGGATAGAGCAGTTGAGAGAAATGGTTGGAAGTAGCAGTCAGATTGTGCAAGTTATTGTGTATGTTAAATTAAGGTGTATAGATTTTTATTTTTTAGATTATTAAGTGAGATAATGGTTGAGCTGTGATCAGAGATATGTATTATGACTCCTAAGTTTACTATTTCTTTCTCTTTGGCTTCCTTATCAACAGCTTTTCCTGTTTTCAGTGGATAGTCATGCCATCTTTTCCATGTCACTCTCCTCTCTTCTCTATAGTTACTGTGTTCCAGACTTTTTTTTTTGAGAATCCTGAATTCAAATCTGTCTAAGAATGTTTAATATCTTACAGGTTCTTTTGAGATAATAATGCCTTTGGGAGAAATCAGCTAGTTATAGTTACTCAGGAAGTTTTTTTCACTCCTTGGTCTGGGTTACTAGAAAGCAGTAGGATTGACCAGGCTGGCAGGAGAGGGCAGTTGGAGGTGACCAGGCCTACAGGGGAGGACAGTTGGGGGCAACCAGGCCTGCAGAGGAAGACAGTTAGGGGTGACCAGGTCAGCAGGGGAGGGCAGTTAGGGGTGACAAGGCTGACAGGGGAGAGCAGTTAGGGCCAATTGGGATGGCAGGGGAGCAGTTAGGCGTCGATCAGGCTGGCAGGGGAGTAGTTAAGGGGTGATCAGGCTGGCAGGCAAAGCAATTACAGGCAATCAGGCAGGCAGGCAGGTGAGTGGTTGGGAGCCAGCAGTCCTGGATTGTGAGAGGAATGTCGGACTGCCCTTGAGGGGTCCCAGATTGGAAAGGGTGCAGGCTGGGCTGAAGGACATCTCTACGCCCCCCCTTGCACACATTTCGTGCACCAGGTCTCTAGTCCTATATAATAAAAAACTAATATGCATATCGACCCAATAGCAGAACAACCAGTTGCTATGATGCACACTGACCACCAGGGGGGCAGATGCTCAATACAGGAACTGCCCCTGGTAGTCAGTGCACTCCCATAGGGGGAGTGCTGCTCAGCCAGAAGCTGGGATTATGGCAGGGAGTGGGCCTAAGGTGTCAGCGGGACATCCCCTGAGGGCTCCTGGACTGCAAGAGGGCGCAGGCCAGGCTGAGGGACACCCCTTTCCCGAGGGCACAAGTTTTGTGCACTGGGCCTCGAGTTTCTTTCTAAAGATCTTAGAAGCTTTAACTCAGTCCTCACAAAACCTTTTAATTATTTATTTATTTTTTAAAAAAATATATCGATATTTTATTGATACTTCACAGAGAGGAAGAGGGAGGGACAGAGAGCTAGAAACATCGATGAGAGAGAATCATCGATCAGCTGCC